CCCCCGCCGCCTCCTGCGGCTGCAGCCTGCCCCGGCCTCGGAGAGGACCGCGGAGCCTTCGCCCTCCGGAAAAGACTCGGGCCTCGGGCCCCCGGCCGAGCGCACCGCGGCCCTGCCTCCCGACGCCGCGGGCGTTCACCTGTTTGCTTTCGCCCGCGTGGCCACACCGCGGGCTGGCAGAGTTTTAAGGAAAAGAGGCTCGTTTCGCCACAGGGTTCTGGAGGTCCCAGGACCGGGGGCAGCGTCCTGAGAGGGTGCTGAAAGGGGCAGGGGGCGGGTGTGTCTCTGTGCGCCCCTGTGTGTTTCCGTTCTCCCTCCCTCTGCTTATACAGCCAGCGGGTCTCCATCATGGGGCGGGGTCCCCGGCGATCACCTTGTCCAAACGTGGCCACTTCCCACAGCCCCTCTGAACCCAGAATCGGCCAAGTGTTCGTCTCTCACAGCTCACCACGGGGTGAAACCTGCAGATGCCAAGGCCGCGTAGTAAAGGAATCTTTCCCTGTGTGACAACAAAGCGGGGTATTGTGAAGAGCAGGTGAAAGAAGGCCGGCACGGGGAGACAAGTAGTGTCTGATTTCATCCTGTGGAATTTAAAATAGTAGAAATAGCATTTAAAATAGGAGAGCAGGGAGACGGTTGTCGGGGCCTGGCAGGAGGGGAGGATCGGATTAGTAAGGGGTACAGGGTACAAAGTTCCAGTCGTGCAAAATAAGTCCAGGAGATCCACTGTAGAGCATCAGGCCTTCGGTTACTGCTGCGGAGAGGGCAGACAGGCAGCAGCAGGGGAGCAGGCGGGGGCGTGGGAGCCGTGGGAGTGCCCGTGGCAGCGAGGGTGGTGGCGTTAGCCCCACGGATGTGCGCTCACCCGCACACCAGTGCTTGTGTGTGCATTAAATGTGCACAGCTTTTTATGTGTTAGTAACAGGAAGCGGTTTAAAAGACACGTACACTGAACAGAGGGAGTGGCTTGGAGAAAAAAGCAAACATTTCCTGCAGCAGTGTAAGGATTCAATATACCTAACACCATCATAAAATGTTTCATAAAATTCACGTGATGAAACTACGTGCACCACGGTTTGTAGCTAGGCATAAGGGTGCCGAACCTCTTTGTGAATTGGACCTACAACCTACACTGTTGTTGAGAGAAGGTCCGATGAGTGGAGGAATCTAGTGGGCATTCATTCATGAGAGCGTGGACGATGGAAACGGGCCTTCTCCTCAACGGACAAGGGATGCGAAGTCCAGGCAGCCATGGAGGATAACTTACAGATGTGTTTAGGGTACAGTGTACTCAGGGCTATCGGCAGTGCAGACGGGAGTCCAAGCAGGGGTGCTCACCCTCTGTGCTAATTTCACTATTAGTAATGAAATAATGATTCCTTGAGCTGTTGTTGAAAGTCTCCTCCACCAACGTGATGCGTCCTCTCTGCCTCCACCTCGCTTATTACTACAGCTCCCCTGGAAACCTGCTTCCCAGCGGAGGAAGCGTTCCTGGATGAAAGAATTCCTCAGCTCAGACAACCGGCTCCAAACCAGGAAGGCTGCACTCAGCACTCTCCACATGGGCACATAACCAGAGTCATTCATTCCAATTTCTATTTACAAAAGAGAAAAAAGCAACATCGGGACAAACTTCACTAATGTATACTTTCTGGGAAACAGCTTGAACAAAGTGATGAGCTCTTTTTCATTCATCTGTAAACTGTCTCGTCCTGGACTGAGGTCAGGATGGCTGCGCTCCTTAACATGTAGAAAAAGAAGGATCTCCTGGTGCCACGAACCTAAGGGAAGTGAATAATGAGTAAATTGGTCATTAACACCTTCTGAAAAGTGCTTTGTCCTAAGTCACTGAACGACTCCACTAATTCTTCCCTTATCTGCTGCTTCTGACCTGGCCGCGACCCAGTCGCGGAATGAATGCAGGCGCTCAGGGAAAGAACACAATCCTGGTAAGACGCAGGCGGCTCTTATCAACATCCCTTCTTGGCTCATTCTTTAATAACAATATTGTAACGGCCATTTAGAAGGGATGATGGGGGGACATTCTCACCACTGAGTTTTTTTACCCCTGGAAAAACACACATCTGCTTTGGACTCTCTCCCTCCTTCTCTCCCTTCCTTCCTCCATTTCTCCTTTCCTCCCTCCCTCCCTCCCTTCCTTCCTTCTCCCTCCCTCCCTTCCTTCCCCTTTCCCTCTGCCTCCCTCCCCTCTCCCTGTTCTCCTTCTTGTTCTTCCTTGCCTTTTCCCTTCCCTTCCCTCCTTTCTTTTCCTCTCCTTCCCCTCTCCTCCCTCCCTTTTCTCTTTTCAGGTTAGAAACGTAATAGCTGCACTTTATCAGCAGTCCACCTCATGAATATATGTGCACGTTTAGTTTTCAAGTCAAACTCACACAACTTTTAACGGTTAAGAATATAATGCTATGCTTGATTGTTTTGACCTGATGAAAGAATTTAGAATAACTGGGAAGTGGTTCAGGACCTCATTATGGTTAAATAAGGTTGTATTTTATCCAGGGCCGTGTGTACGGTGGAACTGTGGGCAATTCACAACACACAGTTTAATATTCGGAAACGTCTTGATGATGCTCTTTGGTGTTTCTGCACATTCCATTCTCCCCTGGCCTCTCCTGGGCACCAGGCCAGCCCTCCACAGAGACCCCACGAGGGGCTCAGAACCCAGGGACCGACATTCTGCAGAGGACTTTAGCAGTTGGTCGTGTGTGTGTTGTTTGTTTTGCATTTGGTTAGGACTGTGCTTTCTTTCCTTCTGTTCAGGGCCCAGACCTAAAACTTGGGCCACTTTATTACTCAGCTAGTACTTTCTAGTGTCAGGAACCCGGCCCTTCACCCACATCTCAATTTCACTTCTTCTGCTGTTTATCTCCCTTACAGTTTTCATCAGTGGCTTCCTAGTCCCTTCATGGGCAACGCGTTGCATGGCTGCGGTTGGTTCATCACCCAAAAATTTACAATTCCCAAAGTTGAATTCTAAAGCTCTCTACTGAACTTTAGGTGCACGCTCCCAGCCTCTCAGTGAGAGGAAATGAATAGGAGAGCAAGCTGGATGTATATTCGGATCCAAAGCTGTTCTTTTTCCATGTTAGTCATGAACCCCACTGCTCGCTTGCCTGTCCTTGCCGGGGAGTGGAGCGCCTCCCCAGCCCAAACAACGGGAGAGTTCTTTTGCTGTGTTCCCGATGCGTGTTAACCCGCCCCCCTTTCTCCACCTCCGGGGCTTCAGCGGGGAGGCACCCTTAGAGCGCCTGGAGCCTGGCACCAACGCTGCCTTCACATTCTCTGTGAACCTGCTCTATCAGCCTTATCTAGCTCCTACCTTGTTTAGATTTTCCTCTCTTTATGAAGACTTCTAAACTGTTCACTTGCTCTTGGGTTGTGGCTCAGTCATTTTTCTCTTTTCCTTGACATTCTCACGCTACAGTCTTATTTATACAGCCCCCAAATCTTCTTTTCTCAGCATATGTAATGGGTTAAATGCCAGTCCAGACAATATGGGACTTTGAGATCTCAACCTCTTGGCCACTGATGGCTTTTCAGTTAAATTACCTAAATTTTTGTCTTCCCTGATGATGGTTTTCCAACTATAGGGTAAATGTCCCTTGGAGAAGCTGTCCTTTATTTCAGAGTACCACTGTTATAGCTTGTATCTAGATGTCCCTCCAAAGCCGCGTGCGCTCGTGGGTGGGGAGTTTGAAAGGTGCTGGAATAGTCTGCGTGGTGCTGGGATTAAGGGTGCATGATTACTAAATTAGTCCATTAGCTGGTTTAGCATAGTTCTGGGTGTGGATAATAGGAAGGTCACTCTGAGTGCAGGTGGCATTGCCCAAAAGGCAGGTAGCCTTGAAGGGATAAAAGGAAGAGACAGGCTGCTGCTTTGCTGCCTTCTGCCTGCCATGGACTGTTTTCTCCTCTGCGATGTCAATGCCCTTCTCCCATGCCACCCTGCCTTGGAGCCAGCAGGCTGTGGACTGAAACCTCTACACACTTCAAGCTGAAAGAAACCTCTCTTCCTTTAACTTTGGGTGTCGGGTATTTCATCTCAGCAACAAGAAAAGTAACCAAGACAACCATACTCCTGTCACTTGTATCTGAAAGGTCCTGGGTAGGGTTTGGTAAGTGTGGAATTACTGGGGTTCACTCTTCTATTCATGTCCACATGTGGCCTGGTATTTTCTTACATTTTCCTCACACAAATTGGAATCTTTATTTTAATTCCCTTACTCCTAGCCGATCAAAGTTTGACCTGCTTAGAGTCAGCTGCAGATGAGTTTGAATTCCAAGGCTGCTATCAGAGATGGACGGAGCGGAGAGAGAAATCACTGCTGAATCCCTGGTCCCCTCCAGAACTGCAGAGTCTGGAAACAGGGTGTATTCCCTCTCCTATCCCAACACATCACTGCCCTTAATCCCTGGGCTCTGGGTGACAGGGATTTAACTGTACTTGATAATCAGAGGCTGCAGACCCAGGGGACTGAGCTCCATAGCAGTGTCCTGCAAGTACCCTAGACCTGAGCCAGGAAATGATACAGCACCGCAGTATCTCTTCCTAGTGACATGGGTACAGGCCTCTGTAACCCCTAAATCATTTTTTTAGTTTATTTATTTTTTTTTATTATTTTAAAAATAAAAGGTGAAAAATACTAACAGACAACATTTTACAAAATAGCAAAGGATCAGTACAGACAGTACAGAGTTACAAACAGAGTGGTAGGAAATTAACAATGCTTGTTGTATTACATATTGATATCTTCAAAGTTGTAACCCCTAAATCTTATCCAGGGATAACTTTCTTCATTTGCGAAGCGACAATTCTGGTCCAGGCCTTTTAAACTCAGTATTTAGAGGCAATGCTAAGTACAAAAAATCCCTACTGACGTGAATCCTTAGCCCGGCTTCATAACAAAAGCCAGGACTTTGGAATTAGCCAAAGTGAAATACTCACCCTACGTGTGACGGCTTTCCTGGCGAAGTGCTTGCTTCACCCATCTCGTTATTTTCTGTGCCAGGAACATCTCTATGATGGAGAATATCCACACATAGGCTGAGAGTATCATTCCACTTTGCTAAATACAAGAAGAAAATCTATATTCCTCAGAGATCTTCACCTTCTTAAAATTTTTATTAATACAGAGGTGATAGGACATCGTGGAAAACTTAGAAAATAAAACACCCTGTAACGCTAGCACCACCAGCTCGTACCGTCAATGAAACTGTGGCGATTTTGTCCATTTTGTAATCATAAATGGAAACACACACACTTAACAGGCACCTACTAGATGGCTAGGCTCGTGAGCAGAATGCTTTGTATTATTTCACTGAATCCACTCAACAAGCCCTTGTGGCAACAGCATTATCATTCTCATCTTGAGCAGAAGAAATGAGGCCTGGAGAGGCTACTATAACAAAAGTAGTACCATCGAATGTCAGAGTTGCTTAGAGCTTGATTCCAGATCCCTCTCTTCTCTTCTTCCACTTTCTCTCAGCCGTCTGCTACCCTAGCTCTGACCGACTCTCAAGTTCACGATGTCTGTTTTCTTATATGTGTATTTTTATAATATTATGAGAGTTAGAAATAGTATATCTGCATTTAAAGGCATACTCTCAGCATGGTATGCACCTTTTAATTGTAGAACCTTTTAATTGTAGTATCTAATAGCTACATATTTTAAAAATGCAAACACACTGTTATTAAATTTGCTCCCTTTTTGTTCACGCCGCTTTATCTCTTGGATGATTAAAAAGGTTCTCATGGAACCCAGATTGAAGTAGCTCCTGCCAAACTGTTTTCGTGCACATAACAATGCCAGCATTCACAGTGACTATTTATGACCTGTCTGCTTTCCCTACAAGCTGGAACAGACTACAGGCAAACTGTACCACATGAATTCATTATCATGGTGGTCCTTTTGAGAATCCTTCATTTGAACACAATGGAGTGTTCAGGCAAGCAGGAGTTGACTCTGACCAGTGGGTGATGGAGACCACTATGAAGCAGCCCTGAGCAGGACTTAATTAATTGGCTTTTCATGTTTACTCATGAATCTGTCCAGTGCCTAGGCTCCTTGTCTAAAAATGGGCAGATTCATAGTAAGCGAACCTCTGTGAGTCACTAATCCCTACCAAAACTGTAATGGGGGATGATGCCGAAAAATCTCAAAGGATAAGACAAGATCACAGCCAAGGACACCAAGATCTGATCTCAACTAGATAAACACTATAGCCTCAGGCATCTCACTCCTGGTTGGATTGATTTAATCCTTATTAAGGATTAATTTCATACCTTACTTGAAGAAGACCTTGAATAATTCCACCGTTCTTGAGTAGTCCCCTCCCTTCTTCTGATAACCAAATAAATACGAGTCACCCAGAGAAGGTCTTGGTCTTAGCCCTGAAAGAATCTCAAGTTCTGTGAGAGAGCTTTGATCCTTCTGGGGCCCTGAACTCATTCCATTTGCCTCTTTTTATTTAGCCTTTGCTGTATGCTCATTCGGGAGATTCTGAACCTAATCAGCCCACAATAACTGAGGGATATTACTAACTTGATAGGTAGGTAGTAAAGAGCTGAGGGACAGGAATCATAAAAAAGGCTGTGTTTTGTCTTGCTTGGTCCCTCAGTGGCAGTAATTGGAATACCTTTTGGAAGACGCCCAGGCACACATTCCTTGCAGTGACCACCACAGATGGAGGCTCATATTGAATTGAATTATAATTACCAGTAAGAATATTTGATATTGAGATTCCTCAAAAAACTAGGATTAGAGGTCCCATTCAACCCAGCTAGTCCCCTTCTGGGTATTTTCCCAGAATAGTGGAAAACATCATACCACAGTGTTATGGTTTATGTCTGTGTGTCCCCTCCAAAGCCTCATGCGACCATGGGGCAGGCTATTAGAGTTGAATGATTGTGGGTGTGAGAGCTGCACCCGCCCTGGGGTGGATAGTTTGCATATGTAAGGTAGAGGAAAAGAGTGCTTGAGGACATTCCTCCCCCATTCCGCCCTGGTGTGTGCTTGCGGCTTAGCTGTATTCTGCCGCCCTGAGATGCAGCCCTCTGCCACGTGCCACGCTGCCTTATAATCTGCCAAGTACGGATTGAAACTTCCACGAACTGTAAGTGAAATAAACCTTTCCTTCCTTAATTTTGGGCATCAGGTATTTTGTCCCAGCAGCGAGAAAAAAGTGACCAAGACACACAGCGACATATGTGCACCCATGTTTATAGCAGCGCAATTTATCATAGCTAAATTTTGGAAACAACCCAAATGTCCATCAACCAAGAAATGGATAAAAAAGATGTGGTATTTTTATACAATAGAGTGTTATTCAGCTATAAAGGAAGATAAACTTGAGGCTTTCTTTTAAAGGTAAATGGGTAACTTGAGACCATACTCATAAGTGAAATAAATCAGACCTGTATGTGTAAACAACATATTGTCTCCCTACTGTGAGAAGCTTAAAGAATAAATAAGAACCAAAAGGTACAATAGATATTGTGAAAGGGAAAGACTGCTCAAAAGGAAAGCACAACTGGGATGGGGGAAAGGAGAAAAGAAGGCAGGGGGAAAATATATACACACACACACACACACACACACACACACACACACACACACACACCACATAATATAGCTAAGATAATTATACTACTAATTTCTATTAGTTTATTGAAAGGAACAGTTAGTGCTTATATTATTTGATCAATCTTACATGTCTATATCTGGTAATCTGAGCAACTACTTTGAAGGTAATAATATGCAGTATGACAACCACTGTTAATTTCCTATCATCTTGTTTTGAAATTCTGTATCATTTTTATTGTTTCTTAAAATTCTCTTTAAAATAAAAAAATATTTTCAAGTGTGATTCATGGTGTAAAATATTAAGAAGCTGATGTCTGTGCCAAAATGGACCCAAGAGAAGTTCTAGCTATAATCGTAACTATTTGAGAGTGAATAAGTGTGCAAATCTACACCACAACCTTGCTTGGCAGGATATATTAAAGAACTTGAAACTTACTGTCAGCTAGTTTAATTGTAACATCTTTGTGCCATTACCGATATCGTCATGTTCCAGTCTAGAATAAGATGTACGTGAGAATAGTTGATAACCAATTCTTATGAGCATTGTGGTCTATTTATGAAATACTGCTTAAAGTGTGTGGTATCATCAGTCCCCTGTCTCACCCAGGTAGCACAGTATTGCTCCACAGTTTCTTGGCCCTTGATAGAAATGATTTTTACAGAGTTTCCTCAGTATTTCTTTGTAAAATTAAAAAGAAAGTAAGAGATAGGTTTATGGAAGCTGGTGTAGCTTCTGCTGTAGGAACATTACTATTCTATCAGAGAATAGTGGGCAGATATAAACGAACACCTCTTTTGTACCAGGTCTTATCTTGGGTGCTGGGGATGCAGGACTATCTGAAGCAGATAAAGTCACAGCCTGGAGGAGTTTACCTTCCGGTCTGACTCACAACACCAGGTCTGTGATGTGGAACTCTACAGGAACACTTGACTTTAATGCAAAGTACCATTATAGGAATTTCTCTGTCCGTGATGGACTGAGATACTAGTAGACAACTGAGTCTATAAGGATTGTACTTTCACTTTGTATTGTATTTTCACTTTGCCAATCAGACCACAAACATTGTGATTCAGTTTTGCTGATTCATAGTATCCTGAAAAAAAAAACACCTTACATATTTATGTTATTATTTTTCATCATGATTTCACAAGGGACATACTCCAAATTTCATGTGTTAGAACAGTATATTTGGTTGAACTATAAAATTTTGGCTTAGTTATTAACCTATATTTTACTGTACATATTTATCTTCGCTTAATACTTATTATTACAGTAGTCCTATTATTCTCTATCTGAGAGCAGATAGAGGAAGAAGAGAAACAAATTGCTTTTTGCACAAGATGCTGGCCATTTCTCTATCTGGAGAGATCCAGGAAGCTGCTTGGTGCAGGGGTTTCCTGACTCTTCCCTGGACACCGGGGCAGCTTTGCCGCGCAGGCTGTGGAGGCCTGAGGAAGGGCTGCTCCTCCCTTGGCTTTTGGTTGTTGGGGATGATGTGAGCCTCCAGCGAGGAAAAGGAATAAGACCCTGTAATTTATTTATTTATTATTTTTTTTCTGGTACCAGGAATCGAACTCACGACCTCGCGCTTGCCAGGCAGGCGCTGTGCCGCTGAGCTAAATCCCCAGTCTGAGACCCTGTAATTTCTAATGCTCCGCCACAGGACAGGGTTGAGGTTGTGTCCCGTGCTCTACCATAGGACAGCGTTGAGGTTGTTTCTGGCCTCAGAGGCTGCTGTGTGGGCTGCGCAACATACGCTATGTGACTGAGAAATACAGCGAATGGTTAAAATTAAAAAAATTCATCGCGGAAAAAGATGTAGCCACAAAGGTCCCTCGAAATACTCCCCCTTGCTTCCACCACGCTCACCCCGTCGCGCTTGCCCCCTGGAAGCCCGCTTTGTGAGTCTTTACCTGAGCTGCTGGGGTGCCTTACTGTCCTGAATATCGGATTCAAAACATTGAGCTCCCATGGTCATTTTGACTTTAGGGAAGAGTCAGAAGTCACACAGGGCCAGGCCTGGTGAATACGGTGGGTGAGCGCACAGTGTCCTGCTTCTGCCAGGCTGCCTTTCTGTTGGAGGGCACTGGCAGCAGGGTTCACCATACTTGTGATCTTACAGTACTGCATGAAGACATCCAAGAGAGAGCACTTCCAGAACTGCTTCAGAAAGTGGTAGAACGATGGGATAAGTGCGTCTGAAGTGGGAGGGTTATTCTGAGGGAGATCCGTGGCCCTATGTCTTTTACCGTGATACACTTTTAAAAGATTTAAACACATACTATATTTTGAGTCAGTAATATCGATAATGCCCACATTTGTCTAACAGCAAAGCAATCTCCACTTATTAAGTATCAGTGTTTGTGAAAAAAGTAAAAACTTTGTACTTACATGTGGCCATTGAATATTTTTATTGTGAGCTAAAAAGAATGCGACTTCCAGGACAACTAGAAATAGACCAATCATTGCTATGGTGAAGCTGCTGACGTTCATGGTTGCGGCGCAGGTGAGCTGGAATGGGAACAAAATGTCGACGAGTCATTTGTAGAACAAGCAAATTGTGTGGAGCTATTGGTTTGCATTAGCTACAAGTGTGCTAACCATGATTTGTTATAATTTCAGGTTATTTTCTGAAACAAATGTTACTTTCGGGGTTCCCAACCCTCAAGTTCGTTGGCCAGGATTCCAGTAGGACTCGTTGGCTTTCTGGAAGGTACACAGTTCATCCACTCACTGAACACAAAATTCTTAAATGCCCTGTGTTGAGGCAAATACAGAAGTGCTACAGTTTAATGGAGAAGAAAATCGGGACAATGAGTATGAGTAGAGTATAATAATAATGACACCATGGGTAAACCTGTGGCTGTCGACAGGTGCAGATTACTCTGTAGCCCTAGAAAAACCATGGATATCATTTTAAAACACAGTTTTGGTCCCTCCTTTCCAGTATTCATATTTCTGACATTTGCTTGCCCTATCTCATTAACCAGGATGTCAAATTTCTGTGAGTAGTAGCAGTGAAAGTTTGTCCCTGTCTTATTGCCTAGTTGTAATACGAGCATTTCCATGTTTGCATTATTAGATGGGACATTTGCTGTAAGTTTTTTTTTTTTTTTTTGGTTTTT